GGTCCTAATGAGCTTATGTGGGAAACTCTGCCAAGTGCTGCCTGGAAACTTGCCTCTTGGGGTTAATGGCCTTCACATCCATGGAGTATGCTGCATGCTTTCCTGTGTGACAAGGAAGGATGTATCTCAGGGTGGTCCGCATGCACAGGCCTGAGAAACGGTGAACAAAAGCTGATGGTTATTAACACTGCTGCTAATTATCTCAGGATCACAATAATCCCCCTTCTTTAAGCATGGAACCTGACCATTCACAAAGACTTTGATGTCACCGTTCCTCTCTGTAGAGTTCAGGGCTGATGTATACTTATTATTTTATGAATATACAGACTAGGACCTGGAGAGTTGATGACCTTTGCATAGGTTAATAAAGGGCTTCCTGCTCTGACTGAGGGACAACCTTGCATCCAAGGATGGAAAGGCAGGTAGCTGGTGGAAGGAAGGCCCAAGTCTCTCCTTTGTTGGGGGCCTCATTAAATTTGTCTCTGTTCACGAATGGGAGTCCAGGCCAGCACTGGAAAGGATATTCTTCCTTTAAAAAAAATTGTTTGGGTTGGAGGCCATGTTTTGGTTGAGAGCCTCTTGCTGCCAGTGGTGGTTTAAAAAAATCAAAGCAAGTATTTCTTGCCAACAGTCTCGGGAGCTAGGGAACTTTTGATTCTTGTCTTTTAGTGGGGGTTATAGCGGCTTGAATGATGGCATCCAAAATGATGTTCATGTTCTAACCTCTATGAACTGTGAATGGATATGACCTTACTAGGGGGATAGGATCTCTGTAGATATAATTAACTTAATGATCTCAAATCAAGGTCATCCTGGATCTAGGATGGGCTCTATGTCAGGCAGCTCATGCCCTTGTAAGAAGAAACAGAGGGAGGTTTGAGCCAGACACACAGGGAAGATGGCCCCATGCAGATGAACACAGAGGTGGGAGTCCTATCGCCCGAGTCAAGGGATTTCAAAAGCCATCAAAAGCTGGAAGAACCAACGACACTTCCTCCCCTAGCGCCTCCAGGAGGAATGTGACCCTGCAGCACACTCGTATTAGATGTGGGGCCTGCACACCTGTGAGAGGAGAACGTTTTCCTGCTTAAGGTACCACGTTGTTTTGTCAAAAAATTAACATAGAGACTGCCTTGGCCAGCTTTGTCAGTGACAGAGGACGTGAAATATTCACCTTACAAGAAGCAAAGGTTGAGTGTGGACCATGGTTTCTGTCATGGTCATCTGGCCTCCTTACTGTGAACTCATGACACACAGTCCCTCATGAGGGAAGTATATCGGAGAGGAGACCCGTCCACCTCATGGCTGCCAGGAAGCACAAAGGAAGAGAGAAAAAAATCTTGGGTCCCAAAATCCACTTCGAGGGCACACCCCCAACGGCCTAACTTTCTCCCACCAGACTTCACCTCCTACAGGTTCCCTCACCTCCCAGAGCACCAGAGTTGAGGACTGATCCTTCACAAAGGGCATTTGGGGGACAGTCCAGAGCCAAGCTACAGCAGAGACATTAGACACAAGCTTGTTCCGAACATTTCCCTGGATGTTCCCTGAAAACTGGAGCGAGCTCACGTTGGCTGCTAAGAGTAATTCGCACTCCCTCTCTTCTATCCCAACCTGGGTCACACTAGCTCTGCAGCAGGTCCCTCCTACGCCTCCCGCTGCATTTGGGCCTCACCACAGGGCTGTACCCTGGTTGTCTTTTCACGTGTGAGTACAGTGAGTCTCACAGAGCTAATGTGACCCCCCTGAGATGAGCGAGCTGCAGCTGGACTCGCACACAGGACCAACGATGCAGCAGTCTCTCCACAGAGTCGCATTGTGCACACAGGCAGGCTCATTTGGAAAGACCGTTTTCCCATTTAAGTTCTCTCTCGCTCTCCAGCTCCCCAAAACTCCTCTCCTCCCTCTCGATCCACAAAGGTCTGGACCCATTTTGAGTTATTTTTCATTTTATGTATTTTTGCTGAAAGTAATTTTAGCACAAGTATTCCTACGCAACGATTTATGGGCATTTGTATAAATACATAAACTACAAAATGATTAATTGAGCGTTGTATGTTTTTATCAAAGGAAACAATGCAAAGATTTCTCCAAAGTCCTGTTTGACTGGAGATGATTAATTTCAATTTTACATGAGCAGCATAATGCTATTAATCATTTAATATGTTTAATCATAATCTCTGTAATTCCTAATTAGGTTTATTAAACTAAAACATTTAGCAGTTCTGCACAAATCCAAATCTAAGTCTCCTCCTCAGGATGAGGAGGAGCTCATTTTAACATTGCATCCAAACAGTACTGAGAGAAATGGGTGGGATCCTTGGGGTCTTAGCTTTTGCTGATGCCAATTTAGAGTTTTGTGGTAAAGAACTAAAACCCCTCACGCCTCTGAAAAGTGGCATTGTCATGATTCAAGGTCATCTCTCTGTCTCGGATGCACAACCAAACCTTATTTCTCTCAGTCCCTGCTCTGTTTGGGTCTAAGTTTCAATGCTGTGTTTTTATCACTCCAAGGCAGCAAAGGTGATCATTCATTTATTCCTTATTAATTTGTGCAGTCATTCAGTCAGGGCGTCTGCTAGCTTTTCAGCAGACATTTGTCACTGATATCACAAGCTGGTCACTCCTGCTACGGTCATTAAATGGGTCCTGCTAGCTTCTAGGACATTCAGGCTCCTACTTAGCATATATGGTCCTTGTGACACAGTCTCCTGCTTTCTTGTGTGGTCTTCTTTCCTGGTTATCCTTGCTGCATATTGCCTCTGACTAGAGATATGCAGGCCCACATATACTGCCCCACATACAGAACAGTAATTTCACATCTCTTCATCTCGGTGCATGCTTGGCTCTCACTTTGTACAATGCCACCTCCTCCACCTCTTCTCAGATGCCTCTCACTTTAGCAGTCACCTTCAGGACTGCACACCTTTGAGCCTCCCGTTCTGCTGTGTGTCCCTAAGCTCTTTGTGACTTCTTTCATCCTAGCCCCGAACAGTCTGTGTTATAATTGTCTTTTTCTAACTCTCTCGTCTACTCACCTGGGAAATGCTGACTTATGTGTCTAGCACATAACAGTTGCTCAGTAAAGATTTGTTGAATAAGCGAATGAGAGCTTCTCTTTTTGTCTCCCGAGATAGCTTTGCCCTCTTTTAGCATTTTCTTAAATGGTCACTATTCTGAAAAATCAACAACTTGCCCCTTACGGAATGCATACCCTATGCCAAGGGCTCTGCCAAGTTGGTACACTAAATTATTCCATTCCGCCTTCACAAAGCTTTGTAAGGTGTGCACTCCTGTTATTTATCATTTTTTTAGTTAAGTATCATCATCTCTGTCCCTGCTCACCCTGGACAACAGGCGAAATGATTACATGGCAATCATCATGATGTCTTTCGCGCTTGGAAGTTGAAGTCATCTGCTGGGTTTGGACACCAGGTCAGCTTGGAAGTGTTGGGTGTGCCAGCCAGCAGGAGGTCTTGATTTCGGAATTCAATTCAGCAAGTGTTAGGAAAGAAAGTACACAGGAAAGCTTCCAGTAATGCTGGTGTTGATCAGAAAGTTGCTAACTGTGCCCACGTTACCGGAATGATTCCTTTGCATTTCATGCTGTAAGGTTGTCTCTTTAAGTCGCTATTATTTTACCCCTGGCTACGTGCAGTGGTAGTTTTGTGCCAGTTATATGATTCTAGATCGCTTATAAACAGGTGAGGGCGATTCCTTGCTCATAAATGAAACAGACTGGCATACACTCCTCCACCTTACTTTCTGAGAAACTGAAATCTGATATGGGTAGCATATACTGCCACCTACAGGCAGGATCTACTAATTGCAGAGAAAGTACCTAGAACTGCAGAAGGTTCAAAATGACAGTACTGTTGCCATGTAAAGGTACATGATCCCAACAATGAATGTAACTGTACTGTATCCCTAAATGTACCAATAAACTCAATAAAAAAAAATGACAGTACCGTTAGGATACTGCGATTTTTCGTGTTTCTGGCCTTATGTGGGTATCAGTTTAAATACCATCATATCTAGGATCATTTTTAATGGAGGGTGGCCAGAGAGGAACAATGAATGATGCTAATGGCATTGCATCATGTAGAGCTATGTAGCACATGAGAACATGCTGCAGAGTTGGAATGTGCCTCATTTTCATGGAAGCACCCTCTACATGTAGTGATTAAGCGCTTCGAGTGTAATTCATGCACATGAAAGGCGTATACACCTTAGCTAGTTGTAATGCACTTAAATTTAAATCTGTACATGTGGTCAGTAGTTTTCACAGTTAAGAATCGCAGTTAAAACTAAAAAATAAAAATAAAAAAATAAGTCCATCAGCTGATTCTTTGGACTTCCAGAATGCCAAAGTGCCCTTTCAGATTTTTGACATTTATCAATATTTTATCTGTACAGCCTCAGTAATTATGTAAACATATCCTAAGACTGAACAGCACTGATTAAAGAATAACGTTCTCTTACCTTTTTTCCGTTGAGTTTATTGGTACTTTTTAGGTATACAGTACAGTTACATTCATCATGAGGATCTTGTACCTTTATGTGATATATCTTGATTCTTATTTTCTCCCTTACCTTTAGTGACTATTACTCCTTTCTCGCTCGTGATTTCACTTTCCACCTCACTCCCAGTACCCACTAGTACCATCCTCTGGCTTTATCTTTCTCTGTAAGGCGTATCTCCTTTTGCCAACACTATATTTATTTATTAGTGGGTTTTATGATATTATTCCCCTTCTACATTATCCTCTATGAGGGTAGGAGGTTTTGTCTGCTTTAATCATTCCGAGATTCAAGGTCCATTATCGGCACACAGTGGAAGATGAAAAAAACATTTGCTGAATGAATGAATGATTGAATGGGTTGTTCCTTCTCTTACTCCTTTGTTCTGGCATTTCCCTAGTATTTGTGAAAGCAAAAGCACATAGGGACTGTACAATTGAGTCTACTCAGAGCCTCTCGCTTTTCTCTTGTTCTTTTAGCAGACAGATGACGCAGCACCAACAGATGGCCAGCCCCAGACACAACCTTCTGAAAACACGGAAAACAAGTCTCAGCCCAAGAGGCTCCATGTCTCCAACATCCCCTTCCGGTTCCGGGATCCCGACCTCCGACAAATGTTTGGTGTAAGTACTGCCTTTGTCCTCTGGAGTCCTCAGAGTTTGCCTCCTCATGTAAGTTGCTGGTATGCACAGTACTAAAGTGAAGTGTTTATATAGTAGGAAGGTACTGGAGAGTCTAGTCCATGGGTAGGTTGTCCTAGAATCTCTTTAGAGTTGTAGTACAAATTTCTTTGTAGATGCTCAATTTCTGCTTCACCAAATTGTCATCTTTTAATAAGTAAATTTGAATGTTACATGAAAAACAAGCTGTTGTATTACACACTGTTGACACAAGGCCATTGATGACTCCAAACCCAATGGCCTGAGACCTCAAGTCACAGCTGAGATAAACACTGGGAGTCAACTTGGTTCTGCTCACTACTGCAATTGCTAGTTCATCTGGAGTGGTGACTCTTTGCCATCTTCTGATGCCCTTCTGCTTTCCCAGGCACTGTGCATTGAGATTTCACATGAAGCTGCAGGGAATAACTAGTTCTCCATAAAGCTTTTTATTTTTTTAAACAACAAAAACAACAAAACACTACCAATTTCTAAGTCTGTTTTGAGTATTGCAGTATGTATTCTCCTGGAATCAGTGACAAGGATTCAAAGGTATTTACTTAACATTAAATGCAATAGAGGACTTGATATCAAAGGCCAAAGAGACCCAGGCACCCTGCTAAAACACAGAACACACCATAAACTATCATGACCCCAGGGAAAACAAATGAAAGTGTTGCTTCTTCCTAGACCATTATGCCCTGATGCTTTTCCTGGAAGATACCTGCACTATTCACCTTGGGAATGGATGAGCTTGCAATTTCTTTGGTTTTTAATTCCACCAAAAGACAAAGCTGTGACAGAGTTTGGATATCATCTGTTTTAGCAAATGTAGTCTGTTCCTTTCTCCCTAACATTTGAGAAATGGGAGCAAGTGTGTGTACAATCAGTGGAAAGAACTACATTCTTAACCTTTGGCTTGGAGCAAAGGTAGGCTTGTTGGTGACTCGTCTTTTAAGAGCTTATAGATGGATGCAAATATTACAAAAAGAAGAAGAAGAAGATCCCATGTTATATGCCTTGCTCTGGGCAAAGTCAGAAGTGTTCTCTCGATGAAAAGGATGCCCTGGTGTCACACTCAAGGGCTGTGTTGTTTGGGGGTTAGCTTGCACCTTTTCTTTAATGCACGTGATGCTTATCAAGTATGCATCTGACACAAAAGCAGAGCAAGCATCCTAATATTTAAGATACCCCGGCTTGCAACCTGACATTTCAGAGGAAAAGGTCAGCTTTTGCACTTTTATCTCTCTCATTTGATAACAACCTTGAGTTAAGCCCTCTAACTCTTGCAGAACAGAGATACCCTCGGGCACTTTCAGGTCAGAGATGACTCCGAGAAATGCAGAGTTTTCAAAGTTAAAGTCCAGGTTAAGTGCGTGCAAAGCAGTGAGACCAGGTTTGAATGACAACCAGGAATTTTAGTCTCTTTGTCATGTCACGTGTGGAAGATGTCATGCTGTCCAGCCCATACCTGCTCATGAAGTGTCACTGTGACGTTGGATTTGAACTTGGTCCTCTTATTGACCATCTGGCATTCTTTCGTGGATTAATTTGTTGCAGCACCCACACACTTCCAACCCACAGTGAAGGCTGCATTTCCCTTCCTGGTCTCCTTGGTTATTTGAAATTTACCTAAGGCCATAATACCAAGTCAGAGAGGTGTTCAACATACTCACAGCTTGAAATCACAGAATAAGAATGCTGCTCACAGTACTGTCTAAACTTCTCTGCTGTTCTAGAGGTAGGACAGATGGCAGGAAGAAAAAGCTTTCCAGACTGTCATATTATCTGTTGTCAAACCTTGATGAAAACCTTTCAGAGCTCCCCTTTTTTTCAGTCAGGATTTTCAAGCAACTAACAAGATATCAATTTGACGAGACGATATATACAATCTATCAATTAAGAAAATGCAGTATACATTCATTAACACTAAAATAGTTCCATTCATCACGAAGAGCAGTTTTGTGTGAGATTCTGGTTTTGTGTGAGATTCTTCTATAAAACTTATTGGGCACATATGGATTCTTAAACCCTTTGCAATAATTCCGAGGCCTCCTTTGTTTATAACCACCATTCTGAAGAAATGGAATTTTAGAACTAAGAATCTGTTCTTCTTGGCCAAACATTGGTGGTCACAAAACCCTTCTCATTATGTGATACATTAAGCAGCATGAATCAGATTGAAAGACATCTGTACATTCCGTTTGGCTTCCCAAGCTAGAGTATAGGGACTTAACATAGTTTCCTCTTTTAGGCCACAGTTACTGTAAAAAAAAAAAAAACATTTTAATCCCAATTAGGCATTTCTCAAACCCTTTGAACATGAGACATCTCCACTTTTGATGCTGTCTTCTCTCTTTGTCCCCTTACTTTGGCAGATGTTAAACAAGGAGAACAATGACAGAGAACAACACTCACAAAGTTTTGTGTGCTTTTTCTTCTCCTTTTGTGTCCTTTGTTAAATATAGGCACAAAGATTTCTAAGTAAAAAACAAAACAAGACACAAAGCAACCTCTTTCTTCAAACTGCCTAAAATTTGGCAGTGTTCAGAGCACATTCTGAAACTAGTAACGCTTCCATCCTGATACTTGAATTGCTACCTACCTGAGGGGTGCTGCAGGTGGCTCACATCTTATTTTTAATTTGTGGCTTCAGCACCTTTTCTCTGAGTCTGGACTCCAGTTCCCTTTCTTCCGTCACTCACTGTATATTCGTTACTACTTCCTCTTTTGGAAGCACTTGCTCCATTGATTGGTGTGACATCTTCTGGCTCATGTTAGGATTTTTTTCTTTTTCAATAAAATATTTCTTGGTCAAGTAGCTATGTGGCTTTGGGATACAAATCCGAAGCCGGAGCATTTTAAAAACACCATTGGGTGTGAATGAATGGATCTCTTGTATTATTAAGGGCATTGGTTCAGACATTTCACTGGAAATGAGGGTTCCGACCCTGACTGTTTCCCTGGAGATCTGTCTTCATGCTTAGGATCCTCTGTGAGCCTACCTTTTCCTTATATTTGGTTTCTTAAGTCCACAAAAGAAATGTATAGATTTCTACCAACTGTATTGCAACGTGTTACTCTTGAATAGATAATGTAGATGAATATTTAAAACCTAAACATTTACTGGTTCGAAGGGAGAGAAGGAGGTGATGCTACACCCAAACCTCTGATATCACCCCTGGCATCAGAATTATTTTCCAGAAAGATTTGCTTAGTGAATCGAGGTCTATCATTTTCACAATACTCTCACGGATGTCACAGCTCTGCTCTTGTTATCAAAATACTGGCTCTTCTGCCACGAAAATGATCTAGTCACATCTTCTGTATTGTTACGAAAGATGGATCACATGACTTTTAGCACATGCAAAAGACACTTTCATGATCACTGTTGGTGATTATAATAGAGATGGGCTCCCTTGCACCTTGAGTGTCCATGCCAAGTTCCCACCCACTGTGGTGCTTTGAGTAGCGAAGTCATTTGGGGGGACATAACACAATGCATCCTATTTCTGCATTAAATCCAACCCTGAGGACACCTGGATTAATGCCTTTTCGTAGCCTCTGTGGACACTCTTTGAACTAACATTTATTTTCATGTTTTATGCTGTATCCATTGAACATCCTTCACAGTTTTTCAGAGAAATATTATTTGATCTGGGGAATGTCTAAACATGCTGGATACATATTTGCCCAAGTGCGTGCCTATAAGCTTCTGGATTTTCTCCTTGATACAGCTCTCGAGACACCTTGTGTGGATCGGAGATGCTGCTGCACATTGCTGTGGAGTGAACAAATGCTAGTTATGTCTGCGAAGGAGTTGTGTCTATTTAAATTGAAAATGTGCCAGCTGTGTTTACATCATTAGCACCAAACTTCCCAATTAAACTGTTGATACTATAAATATAGTACACAACTGTCTTGGAAATGGGGCTTACATCAGCAATTCTTCTTACGGCTCGTTTCACTGGCTTTGGGAACCATCAACCTAGAGGCAATTGCCAAAGAAGCAAACCTTTGAGACCATTTCAGGGCATATGGTGCCATTGTTTCATTTAGGGAATGACACATGCTAAGATTACTTTTTGATTAGTTCTATCTCAGCCAGATCTTATTTTAAAGGAAGTGTTTTTGTGTTGACTGCTTAGAGAATGTTCCATAGATGACATTTGCTTCATGGTTTGGGAAGAAGTCTTTTTCAGGCTTCTCTTTCCATAAATATATGTGCTTCTAGGCTCTGATGCCTGAAATAAATATGATGGCATCTGTGTGCACTGAATATTCTAAGATGATTGTATCAAAATTGCTGTTTCCAAAGAGCTCACAAAGCTGGAGGATTCTTTACTATGAAGTGCAGTTAATCTATCTATCTATCTATCTATCTATCTATCTATCTATCTATTTCGATACTGGAGATTGAACACAGGGCCTTCATGCTGAGCTGACCTTCTTTTTGAGACAGGAACATGCTAAGTTGTTAAGTTACCCAGGCATGACTCAAACTTGTGATCTTCCTGCCTTGGCCTCCCAGAATACTGTAATTATAGCCACCACACCTGGCTTCAGTTCATCTTTGAATAGACAATCCTCCATTTCCCACATAGGTAATGTTTTTTCTTCTATTTTTAATGATTTTTTTTTCGTCCAAGACTTACCCCTGAAAATGTTCTAAAAAAAAAGAACATTGTCTTGCTGTTAAGAATATTTGTATGTCCACAAGCTGTAGGACGAGTTCACTGCTTTTTTCTTAGTGTCAGCACACCACACGTCCTCACACCACCTTTCTACCATGCGTCTGCTCCTCTTGGTTTTCTTCGTGTTCTTTTACTTCTCTGTGAAATAAACAAGCACTTCTGCTCAATGAAAGAGCGTGTGCTCTCCTGACTGGGTAGGGGATGTATTTATTCTGACAAAGTGACACATTTTATGGCCCAGAATGACAAGCTTTGAATTCCTTTAGCTCGTAGTCAAGGCTATTTTCATTTCAACATTTTGACCTATTTATATGCTCCTGCCATTTACCTATGTTTCCTCTTTCCAAGAAAGGCAGATTTCCTGGAATGTTGCAAATGAGCCTGTGTATGTGTACGTGTATTTTTTTCTTGAGTGTTAGTGGGACTCTTGATGTTTGCTGTCTGGGTGACTCTCACGGGTCAGGCCTTCTGTCTCTACTTCTTTGTTCTCTTTCCACACCGTCCCTCCCTCCTTCATGTCCTTGATGCTTTCCACCTAGGCGGTGTAAACAGAATGGAGTCTCCTAGAGTAACAGAGGATGCAATTAAAAGCCAGAATGCACAAGCAATAAGATGATGGGAAACCCCAAAATAAAATAAAAAGAAGATTGAAATATTTCTTTATGTTGTTCTGTTTCTTCGTTCTAGTCTTGAAGTGGGCATTTGCTTTGGTTCTACATTTAGGCGGAAGCCGTGTCTCACTCTTCCTGGGCCACATTTCATGAGTTCATATCACTTCCTTCTACCTGTGTTACGTAGTGAAGACAGTGCTCAAGAAATGCCCACACCACTTCGTGTGATCTCACAAGACTGAACGGACTCCAAAATCGGGGCAAGGGATTTGGGATTTTCTGATGCTCCTGGTTTCTGAGTCCGCGTTCTCTTTATCTAAACCTGATCAATAATTGCTTGCTGTGCATTCTTCACTAAAGGGACCGGATTTAACAAATGATAGTCAAATTTGAATTTCAAATATGCAACAAATATGAGGTATAAGCATGTCCTAAGTACTGCATGGAACATGCTTATCTGGAGAAGTCTGAGGTTTCAGTTTAATACAGTGTTTGCATTTTATTTGGCAGTCCAATTTATTTGTAATTGACCTGTTTGTTTCTGGACTTTTGAGAGAGAGCCTATGTTTCTTAATGGTTTAAAAAGTATTCATTTAACATTATGGAGAATCATTTGGGAGATCATGTTTCAGTCTGAGCACCGTGGATATCTCGCATGTGATGGGTGGACATTGCTTTCATGTTTTGTTTCTTACTTGTCTCATTGCACCAGATGGCCACTCATAGTTTTACTGTGAACTAGGACCCAAAGCCCTCAACGTCATATTTGAGTTGGGCATCTTACTAGCAGAATCCCATGTCAGCAAGGGCGTTTCTCCCAGTGCTAGTGGATCAGCCTACAAGGGATATTATCTACTCTCCATTTGTAATCTCTCTGCTCAGTGCCTAGGAAAGCAATCACACACACATACACCAATGGGGAGCTTAGGGTTAACTTCTTGACTGCTGCTTTGTATTGGGCGCTGACAGTATATCTCATCCGGTGGAAGATAATGTGTGTGGCTGTATTTTGTCTTGTTTCAAGCATGTGGTTCAACACAAGAATAACAAAAAATGTATATTTTTTGACATTAAATGACGGGGGGAAAATACCCAACTTGAAGCATGATGACCGTAAAATAGTTCACTTCTCTTTTTGCTTATAAAATATTTCTATTTCTTTGCAGCAATTTGGTAAAATCTTAGATGTTGAAATTATTTTTAATGAGCGAGGCTCAAAGGTAAGCTCCTTAATTCACTTTAAAATTATGTAGCTTTTGATAATGAGTTTGCTTCGAATAAGGGGAAACAACTGCACTGTTTTAATCAACACAATGTAAAAATACTCATCAGTAAGAGTTTTTTTAGAGAATACTTTTCCATTTCCAAACTGGTGGGAAATACATTGGGTTCTATTTAAAATATATGGGGGTAATTTACAATTGGAGATATCTATATCTATATCTATATTGATATAAATATAGATATATATCAAGTTTCCAGAGGAAAATTATCCATGCTTAAAAAAATAATGATGTTGCTACATTTTTGTTTTGCAGTGATAATTATGTTCTTTATATTAAAAAGTGAGTTGATAGTCTCATGAGCAGGTAAATATGTGATTATTCTGTATTAATAAAGTGCAGTTATTTTCCTGGGTTTTAGGGGAGAAGATCTCATACACACCAACCTTTTGAATATAGCTGTACTCATTAGTATGTTTACTGACCCTCATTTTGCAATATGCTATTTATTGCCCTGGGTTTGGTTTTTGCTAAGAAACCAATTTTTAAATACATTTTCTTAGAACTCACAATCTTAGTAAAAGTCCAGGATTATAGGAAGAGACTCTAGTACCTTAAAAGAAATATATACTGGGAGAAGAAAAAAGCAAATGCTTCCAAAGTATGCTCTCTGTCAGGCGTTGTCTAAGTGTGACCCCAACCAGCTGCATCAACACCCACTCAAAATTTATGAGAATGCAAATTCTCGGATGCCAGTCCAGATCTGCCACACCAGAAACCCTGACACTGAACCCAGCAACCAGCATCCTAACAACCAACAAAAAAAAAATCAGGCCGGTCTTTAAAGTTACAAACACAGCGTATCTCTATTTTGGACAAATGTTAAGCATAAATATTTGTATAAATGTAGAATATCCTTTTGCCCACTGGTGGAATTTTCCCCCACTGCTGTTGCTGTTAAAGTCCCCCTCTTCCTATTGATCCCACAGAAGATTCAGAGGTCTCGTCAGAAAATAACACACCGGGCATGCCAGGAGACCCTGAGCAGTAACAGGGAGTGAAGGATGTTTTAAAAGGCTGGGGATCTAACCTGGAGTGACCGAGGCACCTACGTTTCAATAGTTCTGCTTTGCTTTGTCTCATTCTCCCATTGCTGGGGATTTTAAGTTCCTTTTTCTTTGCGTCCTTAAACTGTGCACATTTGAGGTAATTTGCTCGTGAGATACAGATACTGGTGTAGTTCCCTGTAATTTTCCTTGCCTAGACATTTTAGGACAAATCAGGAGCAGGAAAGCTGCTAAGGAGAGCTGGCTTTATCCAAGGTGGCACAGGCCACCATGTCCGCCTGCTTGAGTATAGAACTACCTCCTTCTCGTGAAGCAAATATTTCAATCTGTGAGTTCTTGGACAACTTACACTCTCCTCCCTCCTCCTCTAAGCAGATGTGATGCCACTCGAATGAAACAGTGTTGATCACACCGAGGCAAGAAGATCCTAGTAATCTCTGCTGTACAGGAGAAATGATCAGCCCATTATGTCTTCTGGTTTTGCTGATTCAGGGACCTTGTTATTCTGCTATACCTTCAGATATTTTATAGTCGTTCTTGCGTTGTGGCAGAAGGTTGACCTGTAAGCTGAAGCTGGTGGGAAATAAGATAACTTCCATTCTGCTTCCTGTATGAAAATTATCGCAGGAACTATTTCCATGCCTGCAAAGCTAAGCTGCCCATGCCTGCTTCTTTCTGCTGAGGCCTGATGGGTGCTTGGAAGAGGTATAGAAAATGACCTGGAACGCTGGCTGACTTATTTCTACCTCTGATTCTGTAGTGCACCACTGTCTTGAAAGGTTTTTTTCTTTGCTTATTTTAATATATATAGTGCCAGTCAGAGGAAGCTATTTAATTGCTTTTGAGAGCAGTTTGGGGACACTTGAAGAATATGGTTTGCTCTTTTGAAAAATACAATGGCAGTGCTATTTTTAAGACTTCTTCGTCATTTCCATGATTAGCCTTTCTCTGGGGGCTTCAGGAAAAAGACCATTTAAGTTTTGCTGCATCCGGAGTCTAACTTTGTTAGGCTGCTTTTTTCCTTTTTCTTTTGAATTAGAAAGCATGCAAAATCTTGCAAGTGGAGACACAGACTGGTTAGGTGCTGCCAGGATGTCACTGAGACAGTCCAGCTGGGAGCTGCTAAATGGGGGCAGTGGCTCACATAGGGATATTTGTCACACTTGACATTATCCTTTATGGGAAAAAAAGCCTTCCTGAGAAAAGCATTTCCATTTTAGTGGCTGAGAAACCTGAACCACCGCTACGACCCTGTTTCCCTCACTTGATACTGGAGAGACAGCCAGGAATCTGGTGGGACCTAAACAGCCAGAAACCCCGCTCCAGCCGTTATTTTCTGTGGGGGTGATCACTGAGGCAGATTACTCAGTGGGAGTAAGCACAGGTCTGTGCATATGTGTGTAAGTGCGAATATGCCTGTGTGTACACAGGCAGTGTACATATCCCCTGAGAGTGCATAGCCTAAGAATTTTATGTAGACACAAATATTTTATAAAGTTGGGTCATCCTTTGATAATTAGAATTCAATAACATTAAGAGGTCCTTTACAGAGCAATCTTATAATTCATTTTTCCTTTTAGGAGATTAAAGTCATTTGTTTACCTCTGCAGTGCTTTATTTGAGGATTGCATCAGTTTTAGGTGCTCTCCGTTGTGCCTAAGAAACACCCAGTGTGTCCTTTGCTCTGCCACATCTATGAGAATGGCATATATTTCCAGTGAATTGAAAAGGAGGAAGCTAGGTATGCTTCCTGTCCTCCTTGGCTTTCTAGAGTAGTGGGAGAAACCCGTCATTAAGATGAGCAACAGCAGTAAGATGTGCTATGTTCTGCAGTGATGGAGAGGCTACTGGGACTCAGGCGGGCAGACCGATGTTGTTAGAGGTGGAATGGCTTCCAGAAAGAAGTGACGTTTCAGCTGAGTGTGAAAGATCAGTGAGGAGTTAAGGAAAGATATCTTCTAGGAAAAAGGGGCAGAAGTCATTGAAAAAGAAGACTTGAAATTCTCAGTCCACAGCAGCACGAACCTTCAGACCCTTGTCACTAGCCCCTTATCTCTGAGTGAGTAATTAGAACTCACTCTTTTATATAAAATGAAAAATGTATAATTTCATCCATCCAGGGCACTTCAGAACCTTGTTTAAGGTATCAAATGGGATATTTACATCAAGGCAAAACCAGGAGTATACTACCTAAAAACAACCTAAGATGCAAAAGGAAAGCTAACGAGGATACAGGAAGGTCAGAATTCATGACTCACAAAAGGATTTTTAAATAAGCAAGTCACGCTGACCTGGCAGTACGTGTTAGGGTCACCGCCATCTGGTCAGTTGGCCATGATCCGAACCAATGGGCAACACAGAACAAGGGCTTTTTTCTCCTCTAGGGGTCATCGTGCTTTCTCCAGGTCCAGGCCTCTGATATCCAGGAGACCATAGGAAGCAAGGCCTCTCAGGCAGAGGGCATCTGGGCCCACTCTTTAGAGTTCTTTTTGTTGTGTTCTTCATTTCAAAGGGACCCACATCAGCGCCCCTGTCAGCCTCCGAGCTCTTTGCACTGAGACCTCCAAAAGATGCTTGTTTTGTTCACCATTCCATAATGAGAATATTCATGATGTTTTTAAGAACTACACGTTGCTATTTCCCTGAGATGTAATTCTGACCATGAGGCAGATGCAAAGAAATCACCTCGACATCTGCTGTCAAAGCTGCCTGGCCCCAGAGCTCAGCAGAGCTGGTACCTGGCCACGGAGAGAGCCCAGTGAGCAGCCCTCTGATTATGGGTCAGATCCTAGATGGGAACTCTGATAATTTTTTGACCCAGGGAGGACATTTCACTTCTGGCCTGGATGGGAGATAGAATCCATATCTGGTGAAACTTGAGTAGTCATCTCAGCAGCTTGTAAGGAGGAGACAAGACTGGAGTTTTCTTTTTTATGCACTTTCTGTAAGATTCCAAATATGTTTCGGCCTCTACCTGCTTCTCTCCTTGATGCACACAGTGCTGATTTGAGGCCAGTAGATATGCCTTCTGTTCAGACCATCATGCGAGAACAATTTTGGGGTGGGGGATATGGTTGGACAGGAGTGTTGAATGGTAAGCCCACCTCTTCATGTTCTTCCCAGTGCTGTGATAGTAGTGGCTGCAGGTCCCCAGTGACAGAAATGACACTATCTGTCCCTCCACATGGAAGACTGGGCTGTAGATTTGCTTTTCTTGCCTAGTGAGAGATTGTAAACCCAGAATCCTACTTTCCCATGCTGCTTTGTAAATGTTATCAATGCTAGCAAGGAGAACTTTCAGGGGAGGATGAGATTATATCATCTTGGCTGCACCATTGTCATCTGAGCTCCAAATGACTCAGTCACAAACCCACCTTGCCCCCTTGATGACTCTATCAGCGCCACCGATATAAAATTCTACTTCTCACAGAGAACCGAAATCTCCTTTTTGATGGTGTGCAAAGTGAGAAGAGGTCATGGAAACCCAACTCTTGGGTCACCCAAATGGCTTTGTTAGGCAAACAACTTCTAGGCTCCACTCTGGGATTCTGGTCTGGTGGATAGGGAGCAGGGCCCGGGAAAGGACTTCAGCATTTAATTTGCTTCCCTCTTCCTTCTGACTGGTGACCAAGTTTGAGGCCCACTGGATAAGATATAAGAGTTGGTAAATAGGGAAAACCATTGAAATTCTGTCCTTTCTCCTCTGAGGAGCTAATCTTTGCAACACTGTTTAGTTAGGAAACTTGTTAGACTACTCCATCTGGGTAGTGCAGGGAAGATGAAAGCACAACCTATCTTTTGTTCATTTTGTCTTATATTTGTCAGATATTTCACGTTTATTCTAATCACAGACCCCAAGTTTTGGAAAGATGATACAAGGTAATTCAGCCCCCCAAATATGGAAACTTAATTTTCCCTGTATACGGAATCATGAGAAATACTCATTTGCCCTCACCTAACACAACCACAGTTCATGTCGTCGGTCCTCATCAAGGCCGTCCATTTTGGGTGACACTTCCCTGGCACCCTGAAATCTGAAGTCTGGAGGTCACAGTAGAGGCTTGTGTAAGTCTCCACTATAGTCTTGAGAGCTAACAGCACGAGTGGGTTATGGCCGCTGCGTATTTGTAATTGCTGCACATTTTATTAGTAAAACTGAGTATCATTCTGCCTCAACTAAGCAGGAAGAGCAAACACATACTTATCTTTGCGTGGTGAGGTTTACCCAAGGCAAATAGGAGTTTCAACATATTGCATAATTTTACCCACGTCACCCTGTGAAATCTAGGGAGAGCTGAGCAAATTTACACTGAAATTGTTCAAAAGGTTGGTGTATATATTTCTGAACAAGATGTACAGATATGTTTAGGGATTTAAAAAGTAATGTGTAATGTTTTCTGTGCTCCTCTCAGGAACAGTGTCAGAGAAGAGAAAAGATGGATTTTGACAGTATGAAGTTTAGTGGGGTTGGTTTTTGAGGCTGAAATATTAAGAGCACATGTACCTGTGGTGAAGTAAAGGGGGAATTTGTTACCTATCACTGTAAGAGGAGGCTCTTGGAATGCATTATAGTGACATTCTATTCATGAAGCTTCTTAATATCGCTACCTGTTGCTATCATAAATAAATGCAGCATAGTGTCTTTAAACTTTCCAGTTTGTATTCATGTTTCCCTTTGGGGCAAAGAAAGAAGTATAAAATCTTGTCAAAAATCAAAAGCATGAATGGTATTGGGAGGTGGGGAAAGCATTCATTAAAAAAAAACACATTACTTGACTTGTTTACATTATTAATCAAAGGAAGTTTATTTCTATTCATTTCATGTGATTTTTTGGTTTGTTTATTAGAACAAAGAGTTTACAGTTTATTATAAAAAAAGGTCTTTCCTTTTTTAGGCTTTTAACTTTTATTTTTGAGAAGTAAAGGCGATAGAATTGACAAATTTGAATAACCCTAAAATTGCATGAAGAAGAGATGTTCTTAAAACCACACGGCATGACTCCGTAGGCAATGTTAGAGGATTTTGGCATTCATTGTTGAATTCTGTGCACATGTTTTATTTCATTTAATTTTTAATTTGCATGTCAAGAAAGTGGTTCCCTTTTTTTCCTCGTTATTTCATTTTATTCTCTGTGAAGACACTGTACATTTATTTTGATCTCATTTTCTTTTCTGTTAGATTTATTTTCTTCTGTAGTGACGTTTAGAAAGGTATTTTTGGTATCATTCTTTGAATTCCTCAGGGGTTACAGCTAACTGGTGACAGAAAAAATATCTTGTTCACATTTGTCGCTTAATTATTGCACATCTTAGTACTCTTATAATTTCTCTAATTTGCATGTTACAGAACTGAAACCAGGACAAGAAATAGAAATTAAAGCGAGAGAACGTTACAAAGTGGTCGTTGACTGAAATAATAATCTGCATGTTGTTTTCCCTTCTCCCTCCTGCATGCAGGGATTTGGTTTCGTAACTTTCGAAAATAGTGCCGATGCGGACAGGGCGAGGGAGAAATTACACGGCACCGTGGTAGAGGGCCGTAAAATCGAGGTGCATGTTCAAAATATTTTCCTTTTCATCTTTTTTGTAAATGTCTGCTTCACGTTCATCCGTTGTTCCAGATGCATCATTGGCGTCTTGTATGTGACCCTCTTCCCTTCTCATTGTTTATATATATATTTATATATAAAAAGGAAAATCGGCCTTACTTTTTTGATTTTACTTTATTTTGTTAATCTTTTTAACTGCTGAAAGGTGGATGGCAAAAGTGAGACAAAAAAAGGTTAATCTGAAAGGGTTTTGTTTTTTTTTTCCGCTTTTGATTTTATTTTCCATATTTTATAAACAATGGGTGCAGTAGTTTCCAAAGAGAAGACAGTATTACAAAACCAAACCCAGTTCAGGACAGTTGCTTTTTCTTTTCCTTTCCACTTCAGGGTTGAAGAGGGATCCACAGTGGTTTGCAAATTAAACCAAGTTGCGAAAGTAGTAGCATTTGAGAAATTTGTTCAACGGCAGCAACAACAAAAATGAGAGGCCTTTATCGTTAAACCTTTCATTTTTTTTTTTTTTTTTTTTT